GGGGGGGGGGGGGGGGTGGCAGGGGAGAGAGACTCACGTGTCGTCTGCAGACGGACTTCTGCGTACGACAATCCGACGATCTCGGTGACAGCTGATTCCGACAGTCGTCGCTCGAGCAAACGATGAGCAACTGATTTGATCACTGCCTCTGCTGGTCAAAGGGTTGCTCGTTTCTTTTTTTCGATGGAGAACTGAACGGTCTGATAGGTTCTAGATAATGTTAGGCGAATGTATTGTTCATAGTGAATCTCGGTCTTTTTGGTTCTAGGCACTGCTGGATTAATTTATTATTCATGGAGGATTCAGTTTGGTAGGTTCTAGGCACTGCTGGGTTAATGTTTTATTCATGAAGGATTCAGTTTCCTAGGTTCTAGATACTGCTAGATTAGTATACATGCTATTCATGGAGGACTCACTCTTCTAGGTACTGCTAGATTAATATACGTATTATTCATGGAAGACTCACTTTTCTAGGTACTGTTAAATTAATATATTATTCACGGAGGATTCAGTTTCCTAGGTTCTAGATGCTGCTAGATTAGTATACATGCTATTCATGGAGGACTCACTCTTCTAGGTACTGCTAGATTAATATACGTATTATTCATGGAAGACTCACTTTTCTAGGTACTGTTAAATTAATATATTATTCACGGAGGATTCAGTTTCCTAGGTTCTAGATGCTGCTAGATTAGTATACATGCTATTCATGGAGGACTCATTCTTCTAGGTACTGCTAGATTAATATATTATTCGCGAAGGATTCAGTTTTCTAGGTTCTAGGTACTGCTAGATTAATATAAATATTATTCATGGAGGACTCACTCTTCTAGGTATTGCTAGATTAATGTTTTATTCATGGAGGATTCAGTTTTCTAGATTCTAGGAACTGCTAAATTAATATACATATTATTCATGGAGGACTCATTCTTTTAGGTTCTAGGTACTGATAGGTACAATACTAGGTTCTAGGTATTGATAGATTAATATACATATTATTCATAGAGGACTCACTCTTCTAGGTTCTGGGTACTGCTAGATTAATCTGTTATTCATAGAGGACTCACTCTTCTAGGTTCTAGGTACTGCTAAATTAATGTATTATTCATAGAGAACTCACTCCTCTAGGTTCTAGATACTGCTAGATTAATATACATATTATTCAAAGACTCTTTCAGGTTCTAGCTTCTGCTATTTAAATAGTCATCTATATACTGCTCCCAAGGAACTCGTTCCTCTAGATTCCATCTTCTGTTATTTAAATAGCCATCTACTTCTCCTGAAGAACTCACTCTTCCAGGTTCCAGTTCCTGCTAGCTAAATATATTATTCCTCTATTACCCTAGTATTTTTCTAAATTCTAACTTCTACTCTTTAAATGTCATACTTTTCCTGAAAATCTTGTCCTAAGTTCTTTCTCTTACTGCCTAAATATATTATTCATGAAAAGCTCATATTATTTCAGGTTTTAGTACATACTATTTAAACATATTATTCCTGGAGAACTAATTTTTCTAAATTCTAACTTCTGCTATTCAAATGTCATACTTTTCCTGAAGAACTCGCCCCTCTTCGCTGGATTTCAATCGTTCCTGTTTCCGCATCGATATCAACCGATTCTCATTCATCAAATGCATCATTATTATATAGCAGAGTTTCGATCCTCCATAATTCCGCTATTCGAATTCAACGACGCAAACATTCCGTTCCAAAACATTCTCCACACGACGCTTCATTCTTGCACAACAAGGTTGTATCTAATATTACAACTAAGCAGTTGTAACCTACTATCCGAACCGCCTGATTCGTTCAAACAACGAAGTCTCGAATGACACAAAAATCACAGTGCCAGTCGTATCAAGTTCTGATCTTATTTATACAGTACCGTTGAGTAATACGTTCAAACAGCAGCGAAAATAAAATATAAAAATCGTGTAAAAGAGCATCGTTTTAAATTCCGTGGACACATTCAGAGCCATACTTCCGTGTCAGCCGAGACAACGGGTCCCATCTGGCGCGTATAATCGACTGAGATTTCATGGGATCACGTTCACCCATAGAATTATTCCACGAGGAAGACGAGCAACCAGCACGCTCGGCCAGCAAATAAATCGGTGTTTTCCACCGTGTATGATTTCAGAATCGAACGGTGTATTACTGGTACCACGGACATCCGATGGTGGGTCTGGGTTACGAGGGTCGCGTGCACCTCGTCGAAGACGCGGTGAGCCGCGGCTACGGCCTGGGCAGCATCAACCTGACGAACATCCGCGAGAGCGACCAAGGATGGTACGAGTGCAAGGTGATCTTCCCGAACAGGACGCCGATCTCGCGGAACAACGGGACGTGGTTCCACCTCGCCATCGATGGTAAGGTCGCCGGCTTTCTCGTAATCCGTTTCGAACCTACTAATTCGATAACAGAGCAAGTGGCGAAGGGAATTAACGTAGTTAAGCGGGGCCCGGCTGACTAACCCTGAGAGCACACTGAATTGGGTCACGCTGGTGCGCGCGGACACTAACACTGGACGAACCGGCGGCTATATCGCGGCCGTGAAAGCACGGTTTTTCGAGGATGAAGAGTAAGCCTCTCTTCGAACGAGAACGAGAGATCGTTTCCCGGTCCCCGGTGTCCAAGGACAATCGCTCTCGCGGCGGAAACGATGATCGGGTCCAGAGATCGAAGCTTGAGAGAGCATCGAGGCCGAGGAAGAAGCCTCGGCTCTCTCGCGCTCGGATATTGGAGTCAATGATTCACTCGTTAACCCAGACGGAATTCTGGTTTTTGCTGCTGGAATTCTGTTAAACGGTAATAGAGAATTGAGTCACCGTGTGGGGAGGGGGAGCTAACGGCGCAGTTTGCCGAGAGAGAGAGAGATAGAGAGAATATCGTCCGATGGAATCGACGGACATCCGAGAAACCAGGATCCCGAGGACAATGCGCGCCGCTTCGGGACAATGGCGGCAAGCCCTTTTCCGGAACCGTTCGAAACGTGGGATAACCTGTGTACCACCGGTTCGATTATAACGCCTATGTCACGCACCGATTCCTAATCACTGGACTGCGGGTGCTTGGGCTGGTCTCGTGTGTTGCACGGAAATCTGCATGGTACGTTCGTTGCACCGAGTACGACGATACCCATCCGGCATTTTGCTCGGCACGGAGCACCGTGAGAACGCTCCCGATTTTCACCGCGATTAACATCGGCTGCGATTCGAACGCCTGAATTGTTGAACAATTTTTTTTTCATTGTACGAAAGTACCGCGGACCTCGAGATCGAGGCTCCTTCTTTGCGACGAGCCCTAGAGAAACAGAAGGCGCGATTTTTCGTTTTTATCGAAATCCGAGGATCCAAAGGATGCACCGTGCACTTGTTCTCAATTTTTGAATAAAATAGTCGGTGAAAAGATCGTACAACTTTTTTAGCGTCATTGTAATATTTGTAATAGTTTGATGCGATATTCAACAATGTTTATCCCGTGTTGCAATGATTTGAGAATGTATCGCGCAAGTAGCGTGAGAAATGAAGGGAAATGCTAAAATAAGAAAGAATAAAATCGAAGAGAAAATACAGTGTGAAGATAGAGAAAATAATAGAGAAAATAACGCTGTATAAGATCATCAAAGAGTAACGAGAAATAAAATTAAAATAAATAGAAAGAGCGTTGACTAAGAAAGAGACTATGAATTAAGAGCTAATCAAAAAGTGCTAATCAACGCAGCCACGAGAAAAAAAAACATGTTCTGAAGAAGCTTCGATCTTCGAATCCGTACTAATTTGAGCCACCAGAAAAAAGTGGTTTCGATGATTTTACAACTCTATAAAGTGAACAATTCCGACGTGTTAAATTAGCGTCGGACGCGGTAACAATTAGATCCAATTAAGAATTACAATTATCTCTCGTCCATATAGAGCATTTTGAGAATGAAAAATCAATTGTTTCAACGTTCGTGGGAGGATTCTAAATTCCTGCGAAAGGTATGTCACTCTAATCTCTGGCACGAAACGAGCACAGAAGGATGCGCAGTCCAGCGAGAGCACTTGCGTAATGCGCGCGCGCGCTTGATTTGCGCCGGCCAGCGGTCGATTAACCTACGCCTGCGATCGCGATCGATCGTTCGATCGATCACAAAAACGCGTTGCGCTTGCGGCGACTGTTTACCGCGTTTGCATTTAACGAATTTAACAACGGAAAGAATTAACGCGGCACCGTAAATAACACGCGCTGGCTGAATCGAATCGCGAGTTACGAAACTGTATAATCCCGCTGATGATGCTTACTAACATGAACCTGGGCAGACTCGTTAAATCGTTCAACCCAGGTGCGTCGCCGTTTGGGACGTCTGTTCCAGGTGAAAATATCCTGGCGGTGCCGCCTGTCAACAAAACGATCATGGAGGGCGACTCTGTCAGCTTCGAATGCGTCGCCAAAGGAGAGAAATCGGTCATCACGTGGTTCCGCGAGGGCACAGAGATCTCGCAGATCGAGGTTATTTATTTACTTGTTATTTATATATTATGTATATATTATTTTATTCATTATTATAACCACCGAGCTCTAAACGCGGCTAACGTATTTTATTTTAGAACAACGACCAGATCGGATTTATATAAAAATTTCGTACGATTTCATACGATTAATTGTTTCGAAACAACTTTTTATAATATCAAAAATTGTTAAAAATAATATCAGGAACCGGTCATATGATCTGATCAGCTTCAGATTTTCTGTTTCGGGATTATTGCGATTGAGAAGATTTCTTTGTCGAAAATAATCGACGAAAATTATTTTTGATTAAGTTTATTCATTATTCAAGTATATTTTGTAATAAAAATTGCACAAAGTCTAAGTAAATACAATCGTAAAATTGTGTATCAAACTTTTATAAATCAGTCACTTTCACTGCTCGATTTAGTGTTAATAGCCGTTCATTTTTTACGTTCATTGTTCATCGTACATTTTTCATCCTCGTCGCATTTTCTGTGTCATTTTATTCGACGATTCCGCGACAGGATTTCACGAGGAGAGCGAAGGTCGCCGACAACGGGACGCTGAACATCAAGAACGCAGCTATGGGAGACCTAGGGGAGTACACCTGTACGGTGACGGGGGAGACTGGGGAGCAACAAAGTGCCTCGGCCTTCCTCAATGTGCAGTGTGAGTATTAATCGAGTGTCCTTGCTACCTGGTGACTTTGACGGCTTCATCGGAAACAGGTCACTGTTTAATCCAGTCAGAAAAAAACGATCACAGTGCGCCCGAAGTTCATAGACTTCGCAATTAGCAATAGCGCTACCACCGCGAAGTCTCGATGAAAACTAGGATCCAGCTGTTCGAGCAGAAAGACGCGAAGCTGGAGGTTAGATCTAATCTTATGTAGTCTAGAATTACCGGCCACTTTTCTAATAGTGATCTAATCTAGCGATGATCATCTTAGCTCGCGGATCTTAAATGCTAGCTTTCCAATGAATCCTCATTCGAGGCTGGAATTTGCTAGCCGAGAGAGAAATGTTCAGAGTCGTTGTTCAGATTTTATGGAGTCTAGGTCATTTAGTGGCTAGATCTAGGCTTTATGAACCATGAATCCTCGTTAGATTTTACGGAGTCTAGGATTAGACTTCATAATTAGACTCTCTATGCTCTCGTAGAGCTACCGTCATAAATCCTCCCCGAAGAATTATCAGATTTTATGGAGTCTTTCAATCTTCAGAACCAGACGTTCAGCTCACTCCGAGCTACCACCATGAATTCTCGTCGAAGAATCTTCAGAGTTTATGAAATTCAGGTCATCATTTAGTGTCTAGATCTAGACTTTATACTTAGCTAGAGCTATTGTCACGAATCCTACTAGAGAATCATCAGATTTCATGGAGTCTAGGTCTTCCAATGTCTCCAGAATCGAACTCCATGCTCACTCAGAGCTACCACTACGATTCGTAGCCAAAGGATCCTCGATTCCCATAGCGTCTAGTTCCCCCTAAAGAGTCCAATAAGAGTACAATAAAAAGCCATCAAGTCCCACAGCCAGCAGCACCAGGACCGCCTCTAACTCGTAGCATTTCCAGTCAAGGCGAAGGTGATCTACGCTCCTCGAGAAGTCTACCTTCCCTACGGGAAGCCGGCGCTTCTAGACTGCCACTTCAGGGCGAACCCTCCCATGACGAACCTCCGTTGGGAGAAGGACGGATTCCTGTTCGACCCGTACAACGTCCAGGGTGTGTTCTACAGACGGAACGGCTCCCTGTCCTTCAGCAAGGTGGACGAGACGCATTCCGGCGCGTACACCTGCACGCCGTACAACGAGCTGGGCACCGAGGGTCCCAGCCCTACCATCACAGTGGTGGGTGTTCCCTCCCGTTTTAATTGATCCGGAGACCTCAGAGCCCCGCTCGGGCCACCCTTGATTTCATCCCGAGGCAAAGGTAGCTGCGACGACGATCGGAACGACACGGTGAAAATCGCTGACACTGGTTCCGAGGCGGACGACCCTTGAACCGCGCCTTTATCCGGCTTTCGCGATTGATCGTCGCCGTAATTATCGTCCCTAATTCGCGATCGTCTTTTTTACAGATCGTTCAGAGGCCGCCGGTGTTCACGGTGACCCCGCAGCATCTGTACATCAGGAAATTAGGCGAGACCCTGGAGATGCCGTGCGACGCCAAGGACGGCGACCAGGCGCATCGACCTCAGATCGTTTGGTACAAGGTGCGGAATTCTTCCCGCATTCCCGGTTACGATTCGCGGCAGTATGCCGCCGAATTCTGTTGGCGGAGTCTTTCTTGACGCGCGTCGAGAGGCGATGATTTCGCGATTTTTCGAAGTGTCTGTCTCGTAATTTTTAGAAGTCTTAATCTCGTAATTTTTGAAAGTCTACTATTTACAATTTTAGGTGAAGAAAGTGAAGAATGCAGCTGTAAATGCATCAATAATGCATCGAAAATGGGACAGAGAAAGGTTCTATTCGTCTTGAAGTTCCATAGAAAAATTGTTCCCCAGTAGAATCTTGCATGATCAGGCTAATCACAACCGGTGATATGATGGTAGGAATCTTGAAGTTGTCTCTGTATTTATGACAATCCCTAAATGAAATTGTTGTGCGACTGAAATTACGATTACGATTACGATTGAACTGAAAAATTTCATGAAATTCTAGCGTTTCGATTCATCGAATTAAAATTGCAACATTAAGTTGCACGAATTTTATTTTCAGTATTTTTATGTTCTGCGAATCCTAGTCAAATTAGGATGATATAGTTGATTACGATAGATTATATAATATGATTATACAATAGATTATATAATAGAATATATAATATAATATATTATATAATAGATCATATAATAGATCATACAATAGATCATACAATAGATCAGGTACACAACGGTCAAAATGCTAAAGAAAATTTACAATCGCGGTGCATTCTATCACTTTCTTCCCACCCTCCGGTCCCAATCTTTCGCCCATTGGTGCACGAAAGACTCGTCATACTGCCGGAAATCCTGCCGATCGGTGGGACCATAGGTCCCCGAACGAACTACCGTCACATATCCCATGAACTCACGTGTTCCGTCAGGATGGCTCGCCGGTCCCGCCCGACAGGACCATTCTGATCGGTGGCAATTTAACGATCGACAGGATCCAAGTGCAGGATAGAGGACTGTACCAGTGTGCAGCGAGCAACGAGGCCGCGACGGTGGTGGCCGACACGGAGCTTATGGTGTTGAACGTTCCTCCGCGAGCACCGTACAATTTGAGCGCCAACAGCAGCAACAACGCCGTCACTTTGACTTGGGTGCCGGGATATGTCAGGCCGAAAACGGAGTACTCCGTCTGGTAATTAAGGGAATCGCGTAATTTTTGCGTAATACAAGGCTTTCTCCGGGGAGAAATTGAAACGGTTCGCACCTTCTCGCGTGATATAGAATTTGGCGAATGAACTTTCCTTGAAACGGTGGTTGCATGTGGAAACGTATTTAATTACGTGATATTCGTATGCAATTACTATTTCGAAAATAGTTTATTTAACAAATTCTGCGTGGCGTGAGAAATCCATTTGCTATTTTTTCCGAGCCCTGGTAGATAGTATTAAAATAATTTCTCTCTAATTCGCGCTCAGATCGCGCACAAAAAATAGACAATTTGGGAAGAGAAAAGAGCCCTACTCGAGCCTCGCGTCTGGTTTTCATAGTTGTCGACCATCGGTAACTATAAAAACTATAAATACGATGCGAATAATCGTATCCTCTGTTCCCAAACTGTCCATTCTTGCGCATGATCTGAGCGCTAATTAGTGAGAAATTACCGTATTTGCAAGCATTTACTGTCGTTTGCGATTAGGTACAGACCCACTGACACCACAGAATGGAGGACGATGAAGCTCGTGTCGAGGAAGATCACCGAGGCGACCGTGAACAACCTGAACTCCGGAAGGGAGTACGAGTTCATGGTGCTCAGCCAGGACAAGCACGGCGACGGGATGTTCAGCAAAACCTTGCGGATCTTCACGCAACCGCGTATGTTCGCGATCTTGCCGATCGTGATCGAATCATCTTTTCCGATTAACCTGTTCGCTGCCGGTGGAGGTTCGTCGATCGTCTGTCCGACAGACCGACAGAGATCGATGGAATAGCAAAATTGGATAGACATGTAGCGATTTTAAGATTATGGTCGTTTCACAGATCACAGATTCCTTTACAGAAATTTATAAAATCTTAAAAATTCTTGCGATTCTGACAACTTGATCGATCCATGCGTGATTAATAGAGTGATTATAATAGAGCAATTGTTGCGAAACACTGCAAAAACCGGCAGCAAACGTATCGATCCAAAATCTTAAAATTTATCGAAGAAACAGTGTTTTAGTTGATGCAATTTTCAGACATGATCGACGAGAACTCCGCGTCGGAATACCGCAGTCCTCCAGGTAATACCCTAATTGCTTCTTGAATTAATTAATGATTGGACCATGCGCCTGAAATTTTGGCGAAGTCTAACGAGATTTTACCGATTTGTGTAGACGAGAGAATGGGACCGCCAGTGAACGTCAGAGTGCAGGCTACGGTGGAAGGATACCTGGTCACTTGGGAGCCCCCTGCATACGGCAAGGAGCAAGTTAGGCTATACGCAGTTAGGTGGTTCCGTGGACCATCCGAACGACTTTACGGGCGAGCGGAAACGACCGACACTTACTATTTAGGTATCCGCTACCATTTATCTTCTTCGATCATTCTCGAGACACTCGATGGTAGCAGCTGCACCTCTCGCGATTTTATCGCTGGCTAGACGTTGCACTCGTTTCACTGCACTTTCGCGCTTCTCAGACACTGGCCCAGCCGGTCTAATTGCATTTAGACGACTAGTTAGACAACCGCTTCGGAGAAGCTGCTTGCAGCCTGGATGACATCTCATTTGTCTCGAATGCAATTTAGCAAATGGCGAGATCTTCGTGACTCTAATCTGCCAGTAGTTGGCTTAAACGATTAACTATTGACAGTGAATTCAATGAGAGGATGCAATCTAGCAAATGGTGAGACCGCGACACTGACTAGCTTTTTACCAGATGATTTGAACGATTTGCTGTTGATAGGAGGATCGATCTCACAGATTCAAAAATGGGGAGAATAAAGTTGACGTCAAAAGGATTTAATGTATGTAGGTGCGAAGTGCATTGATACGAGCATGCAGTTGAGAAAATTGTGAGACCTCGATTCTAGATTTCTGTCGGACAATTTAATCGTTCTTTTAATCATAAATTGTACGAGAATTGTAGAAAAATTGAACAAAAAATTGTATAAAATTGCACAAAAATTGTACAAAAATTGTACAATATTGTACAAAGTTGTATAATAATTATACAAGAATTGTACAAAGTTTTACAAAAATTGAACAAAAAATTGTATAAAATTGCACAAAATTGTACCAAAATTGTACAATATTGTACAAAATTATACAAAAATTGTACAATATTGTACAAAAATTGAACAACAATTCCTATCAATTTGAGCAGAACTTTGACCCGTGCGACATTGTTTTCCAGTGAAAGCTCTGGAAGAGGAGAGCTACTACACGTTCGAGGTGGCAGCGATGTCGGTTACCGACGACGTGGCGACCAGCGACAGGATCAGCCTCGAGGTACCGGCTTACCGTCGTAACCGGGCGATTTCCATGGGTATCGTGGCCGGGATCGGTTTCCTGGCAGCAGCCCTGGCCGCGATATGGTGGGCGAGGAAGCGTTTCTGTCACCCGCCGAACGAGAAATAGGGGACGCGCCTGTCTTACTTAGGCGACGAGCCCACGCATGCAGGCCATCGTCGGCCACGGTCAGCGGCCCTCAGAAAAAAAAAACGTAGCGTTTTAGCCGAATAGAAGAGAAGAAGAAGAAGAAGAAAAAGAGGAGGAAGAAAAAGAAGAAGAAGAAGAAGAGATGAGACGGAGTATCAGTGTCGTTTTCCATGGGATTCGGTGTCGCGGGATATCGTCGCGAGCGCGTTGTAACCGTTTACGAATTAAGTTATGTAATATATTATCACATTATACCGAAATGGCTATCGATCCGCGTAGACGTAGAGGAACGGCGAAACCGGGCCGAGAGGAAACGGGCACGCCGAAGAGGAATTTCGTATCTGGGACGGTTACCAATCTACTGCGTTTACGTACACATCAGTTACATACGAGTGTGTTCTCGCATTGCATCTCGTTACATTATGTATCGTTTAAAAGCTTTATTAGATAAGTGTGCACGTTTATTAAGGATTAGTTCTGGCATTTGGTCGTTATTCGGCCACCAGGCCGCGCCAAACGGAGAAAGAGATTGAGAGAGAGAGAGAGAGAGAGAGAGAGAGAGAGAAAGAGAGTGAGAGAGGCTCGCGAGTTTGGTGAATTGGTCGAAGGAAAGTCGTCCGACTCGGCTAGGATCCACGCATATATGTAACACATCCGATACGTTTTTTCTATTGTAAATAAATTGTGTCGATTATCTCTGCACCGGACGTTTCATCTACGATCGGGACGGTTGCGCAAGACTCTTCCGATCGCGTTCAGCGATTTGAATATTTCGCGACGGAATTAAGAAACCTGCCGTCGTCGTATCTTGCGGATTGATTCGCCGGTCTTCTGAAGTTGTACGCAATCGCGAAGTCGAATTTCTCGATTGTACTACGCGGTATTCCCCGATCTTTTTAGTCCTGAAGACGTAAAATCGATCGAAGTAGCAACTGATTGATCTGCTCGAGAAACCTGGCGAAAGATGCACACGTCCTGGGTCTTACATCTTGTAACTAGATTCGTCGATCATTAGAGACCACGCGCAAATGATTTCAATCCAGCAATCTTATGCGATCGTATGCAGTTGTATGCACAAAATCAATCTTTACTGTAAATAGCAATTGTTCGATTCGGTCAACAAAATTGAATGGAGGTTGTACTACCTGGATCTTGTAACCTTACAGACATATCCACCGATCTCCAGAGATGGTGGAAAAAATTTGTCCAACCCTAGAATCGTATGCGATCGTATGCGATTGTATGCAGTTGTATGCAACTGTATACAAAGAGTGAAACTTTGGATTACGTTGCAATGCATCAATCCGACGAAGAAAACAGCGACAGGGACTACGTTGCGCAAGTTCCAGAGACGATGCACAAATTCTTCTAACCCCAGAATCATAATAAAATTGTATGCAACTGTATGCAACTGTACGCGACTGTATGCAACTGTACGCGATAGTCCGCAGAGGGAAAGTCAGACTTTGGGTTACATTGCAACTGATCCGATCGAGAGAGCCGCGAAAGGGTTGAATAACGGGACGCCCGGATCATGCCGAAGCATCCAGGAAGGGGTGCAAACAATGACGCGGCGCGCGTGACCGTCGTTGTCCACCGAAATTGCAGACATCACCTCGGTAATCGGCTTACGGTCGACGGCACGCTTTGTCCGTGGGAAATCAGGATCGCGTGTAATGCCGGGCTGTTCTTACAACTACACAGGACCTTGAAGGGTTTCTTAAGCATCTGGAAGTAGTCGATGATCCACGGTAAGATAGTATTTCATCAGCAAACGCGTCGCGCCGTGTCGTGTCCTGTCGCGTCGCGTTGCGTCGTCTAAACGAGCGTCGCACCTGGCGCGAAACAGGTGTTCTCATTATCGTCTAATCGCGGTCAATAACAATTGATTAAATCGCGATTATTAATTAGAAACGAACGGGTCGCGAGGCGGTAAACACCGCGCGGCGAATTCAGAGGTCGACGCAGCACGCGAGATAAGATTGCGGCGAGTAATAGGATTCGCCGTCGGTTCCCGAAGTGTGTCTATACGTTTAGGCCGATAATTGACGGCCCGGCGAGATTAGGGCCGGCCAGAACTACCGATTTATCGGGTCGTCGATATCGACGGCCGAAGAACTCGGTGAAGAAAACGAACCCGACGATGACTCGACTCTCGATTCCTCACCAGGTAGAGTGAGAACGTATCGGAAATGAACGAGATATAACAGCTTGTACATACGGCCTGCGACGAACCTACGGTTATCTAGCGCAAACACGCCTAGCCCGACTGATCAAAGTGTACGCGGTCTTTGCATTAGGCTAGAGATGCGCTCGACTTGCACCGATAATTATTTAGGCGAGGCGCTCGGGTTTATCTTCAGCGATTTGACTTAGGACGGTTTCCAGTTTAATTTTAGATGATCCGCAGAAAAGTCTGATTTTTTAGAGGATTATCTCTCTCGACGGTGGCGATATGCGAGGTGTTTTCCCGTTTCGGACGTGAGAATTCGGTTGGAGAATGTTTCATGCGGATTTTATCGTTGCAACATGGATCCGGGTGCACGATAGAATTCGTGCAAGAATTGCACGTAACGTCTGCATCGTTTGCAGGAAACGATTTCCAATTTCATACAAAATTTGCTACAAACGTTCGAAAAGCATGCGAATCCGATACAGTACAATTCTTGTAGAAGAAATGCAAATAAATGAGCAAAAGAGATGTCCGGGGAAAAGGGATGTGGGGGTGAAAAGGGTGACTTTTTCAAAAGGATCAATTCTGTCATAAATTGGGCAATAATTGTACACAAATTGAACAAGAATTGAACAAAAATTGAACAGGAATTGAACAAGAATTGAACAAGAATTGTACAAAAATTGACCAAATATCGAACAAAAATTGACCAAATATTGAACAAAAATTGGACAAATATCGAACAAGAATTGAACAAAAATTCAACAAGAATTGTCGAAGAATTCAGCCGCGAATCGTGCAACAGCCGTCCAAAAATAGACGCAGCACACCGTCGCGACGGCAGAAAAATCAGGAAAAATCAGTTGGTCGGCCGCGCAAAGGGCATCGGCGAGCACAAACGGTTGATAAAAAGAGAAGGAAGAGGAGAGAGAAAAAGAGCAGATGATCGTCGTCGGGTAGGTCATAGTTCACCGAAACGGAATTGCCGGGTTAATTAACGGACAGAAGCCGCGTCCTGGGCGAGTTGCAGACGGGGCAGACGATTCCGCTTGGCAATGAAGAGATCAACGGCTTTGAGACTCGTAGATCGGCCGACGCGACGCGTCGTGGGAGGGCCGAGGAGGGGATGCGGCTGGCACTTTTGGGGCTTGTTACCTGTCCCGTGCGCGCCCCTTTCACACCCCTCGAGACAAGCCGCTCAGTTTTAGACCAGGACTCGTCGCGGCACGACGATGCACCCTCGGATATCAGGTGTTGCCACAGACTGAGGACATTGATTGTTCGCTCTCTCTCTTTATCTTCTGACTTAGTAAATATTGCAATATATTTCGTCGAATTCTATAGTAGAATTTACCGTGGAATTTGTCGTGGAATTTGTCGTGGAATTTGTCGTGGAATTTACTGTGATCGGAGATCGATTTACTTTGAATCATTTCGGCGTATGTTTTAATTTATTGTGGACTTTTCTGACTCGAGATTTTCATAGAACTTCAGCTTCGCCTCTAATCGTTTCAGTAAATATTCCGGTACAATCTGTTTGGATCTATTGTGGATTTTTCTGTGACATCTTAGTAAATATGTGTGGAAACTCTATCGCGGATTTTTCTAGGAAACGCGATCATTATTGTAGTTGCTTAGATAATTTTATATTGTTGTAGATTCTTCGCGAGATCTTGATAAGATCTTGACAGAGGTTCACCTAATTATTTTAATAAATATCACAGAAGAATTTTCCCGTGACACAGAAACTCGTCTGATAATTTTATTTTCGTGGGTCTTTTAAATTGAACATTTTCGTGTAACATAATTTAATAACGCAACAAATTTTATTTCCGTGGATCTTTTTCGATCGTAGATTTTTCTATCACATATAAAATCTGAGAAGCTCGCTCAATAATTTCATTTTTGCGAATCTTTCCAGTTATTCAGTTCAATTTGTTCGACTTTTCCTCTTTTTAAATGTTCACATTAAAATTTCCACATAAATATTTTCACATTAAAATCCATTTTTCCATCGGACAGTCTTAATAAATATTACATCGCGGAAACTTTCTGCTTTCACACGCGTTGATAATATTTCTGACACAATTTCGTCCACGAGAATTCCACTTTCTCCGATATACAAATCATGGAATAATAGAACAAGCGAATGCAAATCCATAGTCCACATTGCATCACAAAGGGGTTTCGTAACAGAGTTATTATCGAGATCGCGGGTTCGAGGGACGTTCACAGCTGTTCCAAAGAGAGAAAGAGAGACGTGATCGATCGAAGAGAGCGAGCCTGACCAATGACGACACCACTTTCCGCGGATCCACGCCGGCGAATTCAGCTGGATCCGGCGAAGATCAGCTGACCATGACTCCGTTTTTTCGAGAGAACTGGTTAGTGTTGCACCGCTCGAACCCGTTATCGGGACTTTTCGTCCGTCGATCGAATCTCGCGGCTCATTTCCTCGCGTTTCGCCGAGTCGCGTAAACGGTGCGAAATCGAGTCGTCCGGCATCGATCGCACACGAACGATAATTATTCACGAGCTCGCTCGCTAGAGTCGCGTCGTATCGCGATAATAAAATTAGCATTACGTAAGAAGCGGGCCGGTCGAGGTCAAGAACTCGGCGAGCCGACGATAAATAGCCGGTGCCAAAACTTCGTGCCCGATTCTCGAAGCGGCCGCTTCTCGACGCGTCTCGCCGCTCGAAAACGCCGCTCCGTCGACTCGCGGACAGCGTATGCGGCCGCGCGAGAAACCGCGTGCGGCCCCGATCCGAATATCGGCGGAAAGACCGTGAAATGTTAGCCTAATTCCTCGACACGTGCGCGTCGCGTTCGGAAACGATTCTCAGCTGTCCCGCAGCCGACGACGGGAAAAGGCGTCTTCTTCCTTTTTTCTGGCAGAGCGTGGATCGGTTCACCGTTTCAACGACCATCCCATTTCAAAGTGCGAACGTTGCGCAACTTATGGTAATATTTTCGCGGAGGAAGCTTCAAAACTGACCGAGCTAGCGCCGATCTTTTTCAGACAACGCGCGCGCGATGAGCGCAGCGCGACGCGACGCGATTGCGTACGGTCTCGTTCCAGTCTCCTTGTAGACGGTATTCTAATTGCACAATAAATTACGCGTGCGCCATTACACGTCGTTTACGACGTTCCAGTGCGGATCTCATTGTCGGACTTTTTCAATTTACATTCACCGTGCGCCGCACCGTTTCATACCGTGACCATCGATCTACCATGCGAGAGCTTTACTGTGCGTCTCTCGTTCAACGTCTGTGCCCGAGTTACGTATCCTTCCACGTACGATCCAACGAATTACATAGTCTAAGTCGAATCAAACGCGAATATCGCCTCGATCCTCTGATAATCGATGCAGATCGCTGTTGACTCTTTCTTCGTTGTTTTCACAGCTCGGGAGGAAAAGGATACCTTGCGAAGAAGGACGTCGTGTGCATACGCGTAGAAAAATAGTATCGTTCTACATATCGGGTTGTTGGAAAAATAATGTTGATTTTCGAGATAGATAATGTAC